TTAATAAAACGATTCTTGGAGAATTTCATGAAGAATTAATTAGTCAACTTACCATTTCCACGAGCTTCTCAGGCCGGCTCTTCTTAAAAACGCTGATGATCACCTAAAAAATGAAGAAAATTGTTGCAAACGTAAGTAATCTGGTCCATTTTTGTTTGTGTGCATGATAATCTACAATCTTTACACTTCTGATCAAACCTGTATGTTTATGTCAGGACTGAAAGACTAAAGGCAGAAGGAAACAAGAGGGGAAAGTTTGAGCAACTTACTCGTTTGCTGTCCGCTACTCGAAATCCCATATAATCACTGCGATCGCCTCTGGATTTCAGTTCCTTCACCACCTCATACTGAGATTTAAAGGATCCTGAAAAACACACGTTAGCATGTTAATGTCCAGCACACACACACACACACACACACACCTGAAGCAGGAGTAGAGATTACACTATCAGCTGAAGAGGAGATGAATCAGAGTGATAATAATGAACACTCACTGCGTGTCGACCTGTGTGTCGATCTGTGTGTCGGCCTGGACTCCGGCGGACCTGTCGGTGTGTGTGTCGGCCTGGACTCCGGCAGACCTGTCGGTGTGTGTGTCGGCCTGGACTCCGGCGGACCTGTCGGTGTGTGTGTCGGCCTGGACTCCGGCGGACCTGTCGGTGTGTGTGGACGCTCCTGCTCAGGCACAAAAGCACACACTTCGGTTTCGTTGGTGTGGAAGAGACGTTTCCCAGCCTTCCACGCTCTCGAGGCGCCAGCACACACACTCGTCCACTTTGAGTGCTTTTCTGCAAACAACAATATTGACGAGAAACGAGTGTTTTATTAGCACAGATTACAGCTGAATGATTCACTAGTTTTGCATTGAAGAACACTAGAAAAATGACACACACGTTGCTAAAGCTGCGCATGGAAGTCACGTTATAATTGTCTCCTTCTGTTTAGTTCTGTCTATATGCTCCTGAGACCCAGAGGAAAAAAGTTTTGTGAATTTAGTATTTTTTTAATGTCATTACATTGTTTAGAGAATCTATCTATAAACTACAGGAACGTCTGTCTGTGTCTGTCTGTTATTCGTATATCTCTCGAACCGTTAGTCCGATGGATTTCAGACTTGACGGGTGTCTTGCTACGGGCATGAGTAAGTCCAGTGCCGAGTTTGACGTTGTTTGGATTAGAAATGCAAAAGATATCGGTAAGTATATCGGTAAAAGAAGTACACATTGAAGTTTTGGTTTTAAAATAAACAGCTACACTGTTTACTTCTGAATATTGTAGTTATTCAGAAGTAATTAGTTGTCAGTAGTTAGTCATGTATGTAGTTCAATTTTCCATATTGTATGTCATTATGTCAGTATCAGTATTTGCTTTCAACCATGGACAAATAAAAATGTCACTGAACTTTTGCTGAGTAATTGTAACAATGAGCACTCAAACACACCAAACCAACACTAAAAACACACAAAAACTGATTTAGCACATTCACACTGTCAAATCGACACACATGTATAATTATACAGTATATATAAATATAATATAGCCCATACACAGACACTGTGTGTGTTTGTGTGTGTGTTTGTGTGTGTGAATTAACCTGTGGTGTTGTTCCCCCACGCGACTCTAGGGGGAGCGGGAGCTTCACACTCCTCTGTTGTGTTTGTCTCCACCAACACTTCACTGCAGATCTCCTCGTCCACTGGGGAGTGTGCAAACATCGTGTCCACTGCAGATCCTGGGCTTTACAGCTGCAACTGCGTTTCTACAATGTTAAACTGACTGACTCTGAGTCTGATAACCGCTGCACTGAACAACTCGGTCTGTGACGTGATATGGAACTCGCGCTGCCGGTGACGTCACAGCAGCTGCTCTGCACGCGGTCGGCCGGTCGGTCGCCCTGAACACATTTAAAGAGACAGTTCACCAAAAATTAAAAAAAGAGTTATCATTTAATCACACTCATGTTGTTCCAAACCCGGGAGACTTTCGATCATCTTCAGAACACAAATGAAGATATTTTAAATTAAATTTGACAGATTTCCACGCAACAGAGTTAATGAGATTGTTAACCTATAATCTATTTAAATCGAGTGGTTTAGTCCAAATCTCCTGAAGAGACTCCATCGCTTTATATGATGAACAGTTTGAATTTAGGCTTTTATTATCTACTGTTAAAAAACAAACCCTCTAATGCTAACTTTATAGGGAACTGTGTTGTTTTTATGTTCAAAAACACACTGCATTCATTTATTAATCAGCATTTATTTAGTGTTACACACACTAAGCCCCATTTTGAACATTACAAATTATTTATCCATGTACAGAGTACAGAAAACTGAACACATCAATTCATAAATGAAACAATATAATCAGTGAATGAAGAGGGTAACCATGGTTACATTTTTTGTTTGTTTAAAAAAAAAAAAAAAAGTCTCATCATGGGTATAGTTTAATAATGATTTAATCACTGATAATCTCCATAATTTGGACCGAGACATAAAGATATGAGAAGATTGAGCAGATTCTGCAGATCTGAGTGTCCTGTATAAATGCGGTTGATGAGCTTTAATTCTGCTTCACTTCCAGCCGCTGAACCTCAACAATCTGACAATCAACAAAGATCGACAGTCAGAAACAAATAAAGAAACAACAACGTTCATGAAGAGCATTTCCAGCATCTCTCCTGTTTGATGTGTGTGTTCATGTTGAGTTTCTCAGGGAGAATCTGAGCTCTCTCGTTCCTGAGTCCAGCTGTTTCAGTGGATGAGGAAGATAAGGAAGAGGAAGAGGAAGATGAGAAATGAATGAATGAGGCATTTATATAGCGCTTTCATATGTACCACTGCGCTTTACAATCATATCAGGAAATCAGGATCTCCTCAACAGCACCAGTGTGCTCACCACACACACACACACACACCTCTCTATATCTCTCTCTCACACAACACACACACATATCTCTCTCTCTCTCTCTCTCTCTCTCTCTCTCTCTCTCTCTCTCTCTCTCTCTCTCTCTCTCTCTCTCTCACACACACACACACACACACACACACACACAAACTGTAAAAAAAATCCCGTATTTTTTACGGAATAATGCTGGCAACTTAGGTTGCCAATTCTGTAAAAATACATTAAAACTGTAACCACCTTTACAGAGCAGCATGTAAGTTTGACATTTTAAACTGGTATATTTAACAATGGATTTCAGCAACATTTGACATGGCCATAAAGTTAAACACATTCCTTCAGTAAGAATTCCATTCAGCTGCTGTTTTTCTAACATAAAAACTCATTTAATTTCACTGAATTTATGTGAAATATGAATCCGTCATTGGACCCCTCCTCCGCCACCTTTGCTGCTTCCCTACCTGCTGTAGGAGATGCAGCATATTGGGTATTGAAATATTCATAGGAATCCAGAAATTTAATTCATATTTTATCCAATATTAGTTGCAGATGTTATAGTCCATTCTTATACACACCCATTGAACCAACAAAGAAAATGCAAAAATATAGACTTTTGTGTAATTATTCCATATTTTGTGTAGTCATTCTATATCAGAACCTCTGACATACAATCCAAATAGTCTACAAAGTATTACCTTTCATTTGACACCAGGATTATGCTTCTACACTAATAGGTTGCCACACAGTAAGGCTTTTTTATTGTCAGTATGCATTTTGTGTGACCAAAAGTCATGTGGAGAGTTTTTCCATAGGGGATTTTACAAAACGCACAAGCATACTTTGGCAAATAATGGTCTAAAGCAGCGGTTCTCAAACTGGGGGCCACAAGATGGCGCTAGGCGGCCCGCAAAGAAATTCTAGAATATGAAATTATTTTACCTGTATGTAAGTTAGGATTGTCCTATGTGAACTATGATGTATTTTTTTTTTTTAATTAAATATTTTAAAAATATTATCAATTATACATATCATATTACGCTGAAACGTCACCGTTGAGGTAGCCTAGCCCTAGTGAACACAACGACATGAACAAGCTGATAAATGCCAAGAATATTTAAAATGGACAAGTTTTTAGATAGAGGATGCAGTGTCTCGGCTGAGAAGGTCACAACAGAAGAGCCCAGCGTGAAAAAAACGAAACTGCGTACATTTGACGACTCGTACATAAAATATGGCTTTATGGAATATAGTGACGGCAGACCACAGTGCACACTGTGCTTGAAGATTTTATCCGTTGAAGCACTGAAACCATATAAACTCAACCGACATCTCACAACAATTCATCCGGAGCATGCAAATAAAAGTAAGGATTTTTTTCAGAGAAAGAAAGAAGAATACGTCAAGCAAAAGGTACGACTGACTAACATCACGACAATACCCGAGAAAGCACAGCATGCATCGTATCTTGCAGCCCTGCGAATAGCCAAATGTAAAAAGCCTCACACAGTCGGAGAGGAATTAATACTTCCAGCAGCAGTGGATATGTGCCGAGTGATGATCGGGGGGGAGGCCGCGAATAAGATTAAAGGGATAGTTCACTTTGAAATAAATTTTTGATATGTTTTAGCTTACCTCAAGGCCATCCAAGATGTAGGTGTCTTTGTTTCCGCAGTAGTTTCAATTTTGATATTTTTAGGTCAGACAGTTCTTGTCTGTCAGTCATATAATGCAGGTCTATGGGGTCCACCTCAAAGAGCATGCACAGAGAAGTCAAGAGGTTACAAGAGGTAAAAACGATATAAATACTGTTCGTTTTCTCACACAAACCGCTCGTTTCGTTTCTTAGGCCATCAATGTGTACTTACATTTACGAGTCATTAAATCATGTTTAATTTGGACTTCTCTGTGCATGCTCTTTGAGGTGGTGACCATAGACCTGCATAATATGAAATATAAAAGGCCCCGACATACAAAATGTGCACACCAAAAAGTGAATGCGTTCATAATGAAAACATTAATTTATTCTTGCCTTCACAGAGACGGCAGTATTGTGAAGTTGTGCTTTTATCTGAAATATATTAAATTAATTGTTTTCAGATTCACAGCAGAACACAGCACTTCAAGTGGTTACATCCCAAACTTCTTCAAAGTGCTCCACTGTAAAGCAAGGTAAATACTGTAAGCATGTGGATACACCACATTACTCTTTTAGAAGTGAATGAATTTAAGTTAAATTTAATGAATGCCATATACTATCATAACTACTAAATTATCACGACTGGAAATGGCAGTCAGGTATCCAAATCACAAGGCTTAGGCTGAGTCAAGGTACACAGAATAAAGGTCAATATAACACTAGTACCCCTTTTCCACCAAGGCAGTGCTGGTGCCAGTTCGGAGCCGGTGCCTACTCGCGAACCAGTTTTTTGTGTTTAGACAGCCAAAGAACCGGTTCTCGGCCAGGAAAATTGGTTCCAAAGCGGCACCAACTCTTTGCTGGAATAGAACTGTTCTTTTACCACGCCGTGCTTACGTCGGGGGCTGGGGGCGGGGTTATTGATCATCTGGAACGTAACCTCTGTCTATAGTAATCCAGATGAGCAGCACAAATGTGTTCTAAATGTCTTCTGACCCCAATATAGGATTGCAAAGCCAGGAGAAACATTTGCAGACAGACGATGTAGTCCAACATTGTAGTTGTTATGCTTGAAGTTTGGAAAGCTAAGACGTATGGCAATGTACACAGTGACCTAACGACATCGTTCGCTGGGCTCTCTAGCCAGTGGGAAAACACACAGGTTCAGAGAAGGTTCGCAAGTTGAACCAACTTTGAACCAGTACCAGTTCCGAACCAGTTATTTTTTGGTGGAAAAGGGGTTTACGAGACTAACACTGGGAAATAAACTATGCTGGAACACTTACTGATACAGATGAGACGAATTAGCATCCACAAATAGGGACAGACGTGAAATAAAACAGGAAATACTAAACGGAGAAAAAAAAACATAACTTATTGGAGAACGGATGTAACAAAATATTATTTTTGATTAAATCCTCAATGTTTCACTTTAGCAGAACCATTGTTTCATCTTTAATAAATTTCTTTTGTTTACATTCGACAGCTGGGAAGGTGAGGAGCAAGTGGACAGGTAATGAAGTGAAGGTGTCACGGGGTGACAATGTTCAGAGGAGGCGGAACCATGATGGACACGGCGAGTGTCCCTGGGGGGAATGGGTTGACATGCACATAGCCGGCGACAGGATGGTCGAACTTCCGGTTTTTGGTAAACAAACCAGTCACGAGTAACTCGTAATGGAAAACTGGAAACAGGTGCACGGGTTAATCGAATTACGCTTGTGATTGGTGCCTATGCTGGTTGAAATACTTTAAATATCTTAAGGATCAGAGTATGAGGAAAGAGGAGGAAGACGGCGGCGCGGTGGGCTTGGATAGTCGGTTGGAGTGTTGACGTTGTGGAGCGGGCGAAGTGCCAAGATCATCTCGAGCTGAGGCGAGTTAGAGACGGACGGACCTATGACTAAATGTGGAGCCTGGGAATTGCATCTATAGCGACCCGTCCTGTGGACACTGGGAGATTGAGAATACCTGGCGGGGTCAGATAAGTGCTTGCTTTATACTGATGCGACTGTTAGGTCACGCTAGTAAGCTGTTGGAGAGAGAGAAATTAAGCGGAGAGAAATTACTCCTTACGTTGTTTACACTGTGTGCTTTTGTATGGAGCTTTGTTTGTAGTGGTTGTGTGCCAGACACGTTTGGTTGGAGTGCCCACCTCAAAGGAAACACCCCGAGTGCAGTTTCTTCACGAGTGACTTTAACCTGAGTAGTTTTCTCCATGATGCATTAGCATGAGGCTGCTTATTACATCAAATTGACCTGTTGACCTGCACACCACCGTCCTGTACCAGCAGAGCCCAGAGAGCTGTCACTGCATCCAGCTAACCTCTTCATTGTTCCACTTCAGTGGCTTGGTGAGTCTGATTGCTACACCAAATTGATCTGCTAATTGTGCACTGCCGCCCTGTATCCGCAGAGCCTAGAGAGCCGCCGCTGTATCCTGTATCCAGTTAACCTTCTCATTACTGTTACGTCCAGTGGTTTGAGGCTGCTTATTACATCCAATAAATCTGTTAACCTGCACACTATCGCCCTGTACCAGCAGAGGCCAGAGAGCTGCCACTGCATCCAGCTAACCTTTTCATTGTTTCACTTCAGTGGCTTGGTGAGTCTGATTGCTATACCAAATTGATCTGCTAACTGTACACTGCTGCCCTGTATCCGCAGAGCCTAGAGAGCTGCCGCTGTATCCAGTTAACCTTCTCATTACTGTTACGTCCAGTGGTTTGAGGCTGCTTATTACATCCAATAGATCTGTTAACCTGCACACTATCGCCCTGTACCAGCAGAGGCCAGAGAGCTGCCAGTGGATCCAGCTAACCTTTTCATTGTTTCACTCCAGTGGCTTGGTGAGTCTGATTGCTATACCAAATTGACCTGCTAACTGTGCACTGCTGCCCTGGATCCGCAGAGCCTAGAGAGCCGCCGCGGTATCCAGCCAACCTTTCCATTATTGTTACGTCCAGTGGTTTGAGGCTGCTTATTACATCAAATAGACCTGTTAACCTGCACACTATCGTCCTGTACCAGCAGGGTCCAGAGAGCTGTCGCTGTATTCAGCTAACCTTTCCATTGCTCCACTTCAGTGGCTTGGTGAGTCAGCTTGCTGCACCAAATTGATCTGCTAACTGTGCACTGCTGTCCTGCATCCACAGAGCCTAGAGAGAACTGCCGCAACCAGTCAACCTTCTCATTGCTGTTACGTCTAGCGGCGTGAGGCTGCTTATTACATCAAATTGGCCTGTTCACCGATGCATCGCTGCCTCGTCCTAGGAGTCTAGAAGGCCGTCTGCTGCATCAAATTCATCTGTTTACGGCTGCTTCGCCCCAGCGGAGTCCGGTCGGCCCTCCTACTTTACCAAGCCATCTGACTATTGTGGTCCTGCATTGGTGGGGCCCCATATACCGGTTAACACAGCAAGCTAACTCGCCTGGTGTCTCACCCCTGTGAAACCTAAAGTTTCATCTGGCCACTGGCTAACAACTCCCCCAAGACTTTCTTTTAACCATTATTCATTAACCAAGATCATTATTCATGTCGGCACTAATGATGTTCGACTCCGCCAGTCGGAGATCACCAAAATTAATATTAAAGAGGTGTGTGAACTCGCAAGTACGATGTCAGGCACTGTAATTTGCTCTGGCCCCCTTCCTGTACGCAGGAGTGATGAGATAGTTAGCCGATTGGCCTCACTGAATGGTTGGCTGTCGAAGTGGTGTCCGCAGAATAATATAAAATTCATAGACAATTGGAAAAGTTTTTGGGGCAAGCCTGATCTGTTGAAAAGAGATGGTATCCATCCCTCCTGGGCTGGTGCTGCTCTTCTCTCTAGTAATTTGGCTCATAGTCTTAGAGATAAAACATGACAATCTGGGGCTCAGGTCAGGAAGCAGACAGACTGGCTAAACCGACCGTCTGCTAGCGGCCTCACGTCACCAAGGTCAGATAAATCCCATCACATAGAGCCTCTTTCACCTAGATATCATCATATAGAGACTGTGTCTGTTGCCCGAATTTGGAAATCCAAAAAACGTCAGGTTAAAAATTTAATTGATGTTCAACAAATAAAAAACAGATATAATACAGATGAGCAAATGATAAAGCTTGGGTTGCTGAATATTCGATCCCTTACTTCAAAATCTCTCATAGTTAATGATATGATTTCAGATTATAATCTTGATATGCTGTGTTTGACAGAAACCTGGCTAAAACCAAACGATTACATTATTTTAAATGAGTCAACCCCACAAGATTACAGTTATAAAAATGAACCTCGTCTGAAAGGCAAAGGGGGAGGTGTTGCTGTAATTTATAGTAATATTTTCAAAACCACTAAGAAATGTAGCTTTAAATATACTTCTTTTGAAGTATTGGTGCTTAATGTAAAAATATATAGTGTAAACGATAAATCACATTTGAGAATTATGCTGGCTACTGTATACAGGCCACCAGGGCACCATAAAGATTTTATCAAAAAATGTGCGGACTTTCTATCAGATTTAGTATTGGCTGCAGATAAAGTACTAATTGTTGGTGATTTTAATATACATGTAGATAATAAAAAAGATGCTTTGGGATTGGCATTTAAAGACATTGTAAACTCAATTGGAGTTAGACAACACGTGTCAGGACCTAGTCATTGTCGTAATCATACTCTAGATCTAATATTATCACATGGAATAGATGTTGATGCTGTTGAAATTCTGCAGCAGAGCGATGACATCTCAGATCATTATCTAGTCTCATGTAAATTACATTTAGCCAAGGCTGCAAAGCCGACTCCGTGTTATAAATACGTTAGACCTATAACTTCTGCCACTAAAGATTGCTTTATCAATAATCTTCCTAATCAGTTTAATCATCTCAGCATCCCAGATAGCTTAGAAGAACTCGATATTGCAACAGAAACGTTTAACTCTCTCTTTTCCAGCACTTTAGACGCAGTTGCTCCGTTGCGCTTAAAGAAGATTGAAGAAAATAGTCCAACGCCGTGGTACAGCGAGCACACTCAGGCCCTTAAGAGAGCAGCCAGAAAAATGGAGCGCAACTGGAAGAAAACTAAACTAGAGGTATTTCGGATTTCGTGGAAAGAGAGCTCGATTGTCTACAGAGAGGCTTTAAAAGCTGCTAGATCTGCTTATTTTTCAAACCTATTAGAAGAAAATAAACATAATCCTAGCTATTTATTTGAAACAGTGGCTAAACTAACGGAAAAAGAAAGCTTCAAGCTCAGAAGTGTCAAAGCAACACAGCAGTGATAACTTTATGAACTTCTTCACTTATAAGATTGATAATATCAGGGACAAAATTATAACTATGCAACCGTCTACCACAGTATCGCATCAGAAAGTGCATTGTAGTCTCCCTGAGGAAAAATTTGATTTATTTGTTGCTATAGGAGAGGAAGAATTCTGCAAACTCGTTAATTCATCTAAATCGACAACTTGTATGTTAGATCCTATACCGACTAAGCTACTGAAAGAGATGTTTCCAGAGGTCATATATCCTCTTCTTAATATCATTAATTCATCTTTGTCTCTAGGATACGTACCAAAAACCTTTAAACTGGCTATGATAAAACCGCTTGTTAAAAAACCACAACTTGATCCTACAGAATTAGTCAATTACAGGCCGATCTCGAATCTGCCTTTTCTGTCAAAGATATTAGAAAAAGCAGTATCTTCACAACTATGTTCCTTTCTAGAAAGAAATGATCTCTGCGAGGATTTTCAGTCCGGATTTAGACCGTACCATAGCACTGAGACCGCTCTCATTAGAGTCACAAATGATTTGCTCTTATCATCCGATCCAGGTTGTATCTCTCTATTAGTGTTACTCGATCTTAGTGCTGCATTTGACACCATTGACCACAACATTCTTTTAAATAGACTAGAAAACTATGTTGGCATTAGTGGAATTGCATTAGCATGGTTTAAATCATACTTAACTGACCGTTATCAGTTCGTAGCAGTAAATGAAGAGATGTCTTATCGATCACAAGTTCAGTATGGCGTACCACAAGGCTCAGTACTAGGACCGCTGCTGTTCACTCTGTACATGCTACCATTAGGAGATATCATTAGGAAACATGGAGTTAGCTTTTGCTGTTATGCCGATGATACTCAACTGTATATTTCTTCAAAACCCAACGAAACTTACCAATTCACAAAATTAACGGAATGCATAGCTGATATAAAAAATTGGATGACTAGTAATTTCGTACTACTAAATTCTGAAAAGACAGAGATTCTAATTATTGGACAAAAAACTTCCACACGTAATAACCCAGAATACTGTCTAACACTTAATGGCTGCTCTGTCAAGTCTTCGTCGTCGGTTAGGAACCTGGGTGTGCTCTTTGATACCAACCTTTCTTTTGAAAGCCACGTGTCTAGTATCTGTAAAACTGCATTTTTCCATCTTAAAAATATATCTAAAATACGCCATATGCTCTCATTGGGAAATGCGGAACAATTAGTCCATGCGTTCATGACCTCAAGGCTAGATTATTGTAATGCTCTACTGGGTGGTTGCCCTGCACGCTTAATAAACAAACTACAGCTAGTTCAAAACGCTGCAGCTCGAGTTCTTACCAGAACCAGGAAATATGACCATATTAGCCCGGTTCTGTCAACACTGCATTGGCTCCCTATTAAACATCGTATAAATTTAAAAATATTGTTGATTACCTACAAAGCACTAAATGGTTTAGCTCCGCAGTACTTGAGCGAGCTCTTAACGCATTATAGTCCTTCACGTCTACTGCGATCTCAAAATTCCGGCCAGTTGATAATACCTAGAATATCTAAATCGACTGCTGGCGGTAGATCCTTTTCCTATTTAGCACCAAAACTTTGGAACAGTCTTCCTACCATTGTCCGGGAAGCAGACACACTCTGTCAGTTCAAAGCTAGACTAAAAACACATCTCTTTGACCTAGCATACACATAATACATTATAGACTTCTATAAATTCAATGTTAGGCTGCATAGATTAGGTCAGCCGGAACTGGGAACACTTCCCTTAAATCTTGATGTACTCGCTACATCATAAGAAGAATGGCATCTACGCTAATATTAGTGTCTTTGTTTATCCCGAGGTTTTCCCGCAGCCTGCCGGATCCAGGCCGTGTCCAGATCTGACGAGGGAGCTTTGCCTGGACCCGATGACAATGCAGTGCTGAAGTATCCACTATCCTCTCCCTATGTGAGGATCCCTTTCCCACTTTACAGATAAAGCGTTGTGAATTCCGGCTCGCGTACCCCGAAGTGATAAAATAAAACAAAATTCTGTATCAAAATTTATAGGCAAGAAAAGTAGTTTGTTTAGGCTGGGTTGTATGAATTACAAACCTGCGCACATTTTAAAAAAAAAAGCACATAACTATAGAATTCTGAATGAGCATGTGAACGCCGTCAGCGTTAATCACAGGTTCGCGTTTAAAGTCTGATCATTTCGACGGAGGTGAATCAATCAAAGTTAACTTTAGCGGGAAGCCAAAACAATCTGTTACCTTAAATTATATGTTTATCTCTGTAAAGCTGCTTTGAAACAATCCATTGTTAAAAGCGCTATATAAATGAAGATGACTTGACTTGACTTAACAAAGACATTAAATAAAGAACATTTCCTTGTCTGTGACAAAGGCTGTGGAGCGGCACATGATTCATTTCATGACCAGCTGCAAGGTGCCAGGTAAAAATGACTGTGACTCCTGTCTCCAGGCAGAACCAGTGGCTCTGAAAGACCGAGACTGGGCTGCAATCAAATACTACATTCACAATAGAATCGTATCAACGAAAAGGAAAATGTATAGATAGAGGTTCCCAAACCTGTACTGGAGTACCCCCAACACTGCACGTTTTCTTTGTCTCCCTAATCAGGTGTGTTTGATTAGGGAGACAAAGAAAACGTGCAGTGTTGGGGGTACTCCAGTACAGGTTTGGGAACCAATGAACTAGAACAAGCCAACTGTGGCTGAGGGGCAATTTAATTTCTGTTGAACTTGGTTAGAAAAATGCTCACTGTGGACTGTTATAGTCACCTTACATATCCAGTGAAAATGAGTTTTGCTTTGATATTCTCATTTTAATTCAAGGATTGCCATTGATGTTTTCTTGTACAAGCATGTTACAACCTAGTTTTGACTGAGGCTGCCATGTTGACATGTATTCATGAGGGCTATTAATGATATGTTTTCTTTTATCCCCAGCTTTCAGACACTTTTTTTATTTTCTCACTACCTCTGGATCAGATCATAATGCATTGTTTCAAGTAACCGACAATCTCTTTCATAGAATAAGGTTTAAAAGTATATGTAATCTATACTTTCTGTGTCAACAAGCAAGTACTTTAAGGGATTGTTACTTTCAAACATATTTCTCAAGTTTTCAGTGTTTTGTTTTAGACGCTAAAGAGAGTAGTTCTTTCATTTAAAATAAGCTGTCTTTTGTATTGCCTTATCCTGTATTGTGGCTGGTTGTTCAATGCTTTAAAAACATTTGATGAGGGTTGCCATTTCTTAATTTAGTTAAGCCCTAGTTATAATAAGTCCATCCATATGCAGCATTGGTCAGCCAATGAAGGTCAATCATTTTCATACTTGTACCTATTTTGGTTAAGCTATGAATACAAGTAAGAAAGACCTGAAGTGTTTCCTCTTTCTTTCACATAACATCTACTCTGAAATTCATGAATAGACGATGAGACATTTGAAGACCGTAAAGGTGCACTGAGTTCCAGCGCGATTTCATTTTTGTCTCAAATCGTAGGCATCTCTCCTTGATCCGCTAGCTGCCTGCCCCCTGAATACTCTGTGAAAAAGCCCGGTCTCGGGAGACAACACAGGAATCGTAATGTCAAAAAAAAAAAACACTAGGTGCACAGGTTCAAGTTTTTTGCATAAGCTCATAAGAATTTTCAATATATCAGCTGTAACTTATAACCTAATATCGTAAAAAAAATTGTAAAAACATGCTCTGTTTTGTTTGGTATTTACTTGGAATTTCAACAGAAGTGTCACCATGCAGGAACTCATAGTGCACCTTTCATGAGCTACGACCCCTTTTGAGTTAGCTTTTATATATCTCTGAGCCACTCAGTTTTACATTTTATCAACCTGTAAATGTGAAAAATGTTTACTGAAATTGAGCATGACTATATTGTGCACCGCTGCTTCTAATGTAGAAAGAAATTTCAAACATTTAACAGCAGCCAAGTTGCAAATAAGCACCCTATTTTATTCATTACTGAGTCTTTATAAGTCATTTAAACCTGAAAATGTAGTGTTTCTATGGGCTTCACAAATCACTTAAACATGAAATGACAGTGTTTGTTGCTATGACCTCATAAGTCACAAAAACCCAAACATGTCCTCACAAGTAGCATAAAAATCAAGTCTGCCCAAAATATAGCCTTAGACAAAATCTCAACAAATGGATCTATTCCTTGAAACATTGGTAGGAAATTATTTGAAAACCATGTCTGTTGGACCTTGGGAAAGGCATGTCCTAATATTTCACGTTTTTTTCACAAGTCCCGATATATCATGAAAACAAGTATGTGTGTGTGTGTGTGTGTGTGTTAATGAATGAATGAACGAACGCACAGACACGCACTGTTACAGACGAAATAATTTGGATAAAGTTTTTCAAATCAAATAAGCTTCAAATAAGCTTCAAAATAAAGACATCAAATAAGCTTTTGTTAGGAGTTTCTGCTCATATGTTAAATATATAGTATGTTTTGTCAATAAACTAATCAACTAAGATGTTTGTTCCAATGCAAGCTATATCAAAATAATGAATCCTCAACTTTGAAATATGTATGATCAAACTAAGACATTTATGGAAAAAGACTATTTTCTTTTCAAGATGTTTCCAACTCTAACTTTGAACTTTGAACTGAAATAAAACCATGTCGATATGGTGAAGGGTGTGTGATAGAAGTGTCCAGACGTATGCACCCTGTATTTTAAAGAAGAACATTTAATTATTTGCGATACATTATTCATTTCACAAAGAATTCAGGGACATTATTCACGTCCCTAAAGGTTGGAGTTTTCCTCATTTTTTAAATTAAGGCATTAAGATTTTGTATTCCTCTTTTTAGTCAACTTTAGCATGGGTGTGTTCACTTATTCTAAGCAGTGTGCGTGTGTGTGTCACGGTATACGTGACACACACACGCACGACTGTAAAGCACTTCTGGACTCTGGGGCTGAAGGTAATTTCATGGCCAGTATGTTTGCACACAAATTTCAGATCCCACTCAGACCACTCACTCAGAAGATTGCTGTACACGCACTAATATTGTGGAGGTTCGGGACATTTCGCGTACAACTGCCCGGTAAAAGGCCAAGCCCGATAGTAAGTATGAGGCTACTATCGGGTGGGATCTCCGCCGAGAAGACCTCATCCACATCTATACTCCTCCCGGTAAGACTGAGATGGTCTACTCACCAGCACGACTGTAAAGCACTTCTGGACTCTGGGGCTGAAGGTAATTTCATGGACAGTATGTTTGCACACAAATTTCAGATCCCACTCAGACCACTCACTCAGAAGATTGCTGTACACGCACTAAATGGCCAAGAACTTCCCACCATCTCATTCACCACTGAAGATATTACCCTCATCACTTCTGGCAACCATACTGAGACTATTTTTTTTTATATCCTGGATTCACCGTTGGCACCCGTTGTTCTTGGTCACCCCTGGCTCATCCGTCACAACCCCCGAGTGGACTGGCAGCACAAGGCTATACTGGAGTGGAGCAAGGAATGTCATCAGTCTTGTCTTGTGTCTGCTTGTCCGTCTGTGCCTGTTTATGTGTTTCAGGAGGAAGCAGGGGATCTGTCTAACGTGCCTGAGGAGTACGATGACCTGAAGGAAGTGTTCAGTAAGTCTAGGGCTTCTCTCCCTCCTCATCGTCCCTATGACTGTGCCATAGAGTTAATGCCAGGTAGGTCTCCGCCTAAAGGCAAGTTATACTCGCTTTCTGTTCCAGAAAGGGAGGCCATGGAGAAATATATTTCTGATTCTCTGGCAACCAAATTCATCCGCCCTTCCCTTTCACCAGCGGGGGCGGGGTTCTTTTTTGTGGGGAAGAAGGATGGATCTCTGCGACCTTGTATTGATTACCGAGGGTTGAATAACATCACGGTAAAGAATACTTATCCTTTGCCATTGATGTCTTCAGCCTTCGAGAGGTTGCAGGGAGCATCCGTCTTCACGAAATTGGACTTACGTAATGCTTATCATTTGGTCCGCATCAGGGAGGGGGATGAATGGAAGACTGCATTTAATACCCCCAGAGGGCACTTTGAATATTTGGTCATGCCGTTCGGGCTGTCCAACTCCCTAGCAGTCTTCCAGGCACTTGTTAATGACGTGTTGCGAGACATGATAGATCAATTCATATATGTTTACCTGGATGACATATTGATATTTTCCTCGTCTCTCCAGGAACATGTGCAACACGTACGACAAGTGCTTCAGAGGTTGTTAGAGAATGGGCTTTTTGTCAAGGCGGAGAAATGCGATTTTCATGCACAGTCTGTTCCTTTCTAGGACACATCATCTCGTCTGAGGGAATGCGTGTGGACCCTGACAAGGTTAAGGCTGTGGTAGAATGGCCAAGTCCAGATTCCCGTAAGGCCCTACAGAGGTTTCTGGGATTCGCCAATTTCTATCGGCGGTTCATTCGCAACTTCAGCCAGCTAGCCTCGCCTCTGACTGCCTTGACCTCCCCCAGAACTCCGTTCAGGTGGTCAGATACAGCCGAGGCTGTGTTTGCTAACCTCAAGAGCCGCTTTGTTTCAGCTCCCATCCTCGTTGCCCCTGATTACTCGCGGCAGTTCGTGGTGGAGGTCAATGCGTCAGAGGTAGGGGTAGGAGCAGTTCTATCCCAACGCTCTCCCACAGACGATAAGATGCATCCTTGCGCGTTTTTTTCTCATCGTTTATCCCCAGCTGAACGTAATTACGACATTGGTAACAGGGAGTTGTTGGCAGTCAAGCTAGCGTTGGAAGAATGGCGACATTGGTTAGAGGGTTTGGGGGTACCTTTTATCGTCTGGACCGACCACAAGAACTTAGAGTACATCAGAACAGCCAAAAGATTGAACTCCAGGCAGGCTCGGTGGGCACTTTTTTTCGGTCGTTTTGATTTTTCTCTCTCGTACCGCCCGGGTTCTAAAAACATCAAACCCGATTCTTTGTCTCATATTTTTGATCGCTCCGAACGCCCGTCTACTCCCGAGTGCATTTTACCGGAGACCCTATTTGTTTCCACACTCGAATGGGAGATCGAATCGAAGGTCAAGAAGGCCTTAGAAGGGGTAACGCCTCCGCCCGAATGTCCACCGAGTCGTTTATTTGTGCCGGAGGGATTAAGGTCAGACGTCATCCGGTGGGGCCATTGTTCCAACATAGCTTGTCATCCAGGAGTTAATCGTACTAAGTTTTTAGTTAAGCAACGATTCTGGTGGCCACTTATGGCTCGTGACATTCAAAGTTTTGTTTTGGCTTGCTCGGTCTGTGCCACTGGTAAGACTTCCAATCGACCCCCAGATGGGCTCCTCCAACCGCTGCCAGTCCCTTCGAGACCCTGGTCCCACATCGCTCTAGATTTTATCACCGCCCTCCCACCCTCCCAGGGTAACACTGTCGTTTTGACAGTGGTGGACCGGTTCTCGAAGGCGGCTCACTTTATTCCCTTACCCAAATTACCCTCAGCTAAGGAGACAGCGTTGACAGTCATTGACCACGTCTTTCGTTTACATGGCCTCCCGTTGGACGTGGTCTCTGACAGAGGACCCCAATTAGTGTCAAAATTTTGGCAAAAGTTTTGTAAGTTACTGGGGGCGATGGTTAGTCTGTCTTCAGGGTTTCACCCTCAGAGCAATGGCCAGACCGAGAGAGCCAACCAAGATCTGGAGAGAGCGTTACGATGTTTGGTATCCAAGAATCCTTCCTCATGGAGCCAACAGCTGTCCATGGTGTAGTACGCCCACAATACCTTACCAGTGTCGGCCACGGGCCTCTCTCCGTTTGAGTGTAGTGTAGGTTACCAGCCACCCATTTTTCCCAGTTTGGAATCCGAGGTCGCGGTCCCCTCTGCTCACGCCTTTATCCAGAGGTGTCACCGCACTTGGACTAGAGCCCGTGAGACTTTACTCCAAGTGGGGGCGCGCACCAAGGTCGAAGCCTCCCGTATACGTCGTCGGTCAAAAAGTGTGGCTTTCTACTAAGAACATTCCTCTCCGCTCCGTCTCTAATAAGCTTGCTCCCAAATTTATTGGCCTGTTCACTGTCACCAAGATCATTAGTCCGGTGGCAGTCCGCCTTAGTTTACCTCCTGCGTACAGGAGAATTCACCCCGTATTTCACGTTTCCAAAATTAAGCCCGTGTTTCACGCTCACATTAATCCGCCTGCCCACATTAATCCGCCATTATTCCTCAATCATAGACGAAACCGCGCAAGACGAATCTTAATCTGACTAAAAAATATAGTGCGTTT